AAAAGAGAGATTATAAGTTTGGTCATCTCTGCTCACACGCCAGCCCTCTATGGAGAACATCACATACTGCCAATCTGTCCAACAACAGCATTTGTGAGGGGACAAGTCACATTGTGGTTAACACCAGAAAGCAAAGTGTTGGGGTTTCACAGGCCTAGAGGTGACCTCAAAGCGTAATCTATCCCACTACTCTGCTCCTGAAAGAATCAAATACATTCACACTGTCCCTAACTAACATTCCAACAGTTAATGATTCTAAAATCCTCAAAACCCCAATCCAGTGACCAATCCTTTGCTCAATTTCACTAATGCTGAACCTGTTACATATCACTGAGCCAGCACAGGTGTGGAAAACACTGCTTCACAGCAGCTCTGTGACATCTGAAGGTTATCATGTTGTGCTCACCCTGCCACTCTTCTTTGCTGAAACAACCCCAACTTCTTTCAACCTTCAAAGCCCACATTTTCTAAGTCTCCTATTGTTTTAATTCTTCTCCTCCTGATTCTCTCCAATGTGTCTGATCTTTCTTGAAATGTTCACTCCAATTGGATACAATGATATAGGTGAAGAGAATTACTGCAAGGCTGGAAGCATCACTTCTCACATCCTTCATGCAGGTCTCCTATTTGCACATCACAATTCCAGGCTTGTCTTTACCGCAGTAGCATGACTTTGTTTATTTGGCTCCACAACTCATCACAAACCACAGATCTTCTGAAGAACTACCACCTAATCCCTGCTGATTACAACCACAGCGTCTCTGTCCTGTCAAATCACTTAACTTTAATTCCGTATCTAGAATATTCGCAGTCCCCCTCCAACTACATGCCAGCTGCATATGCAGTAAGCACCACCAAAGTCACCACTACAAATGCTGTAGTGGGTGTTAATGAGAAACACGGAATTTTTCACTTTATTTGCTAAAGTTTTCACGGGTGAATGTGTGAAAACTACAATATTCTGAGGTCATAACACCAAAAATTTGTGCAGGATTTCTGAAGATGGTAAAAATGCAGACCTTTGAGAAGAGGTCGCTACCTACAGCTCACATAGTTAAGACCTGACAAAGTTTCACAGGATATTAGAGGGGAGATCGTTCATTTTTGTTGGCAGATGGTGCCACAACCAAACTATATCACCTGCGCACCAAAATACACTCACAGATTTACAAGGGTTTCAGTCACTGTTTTTCTTTCTCTTCTACATTATGTCAAACTGCTCCACAGTTCACTCTGCAACTTCATTTTCCTCTGCTAAACAGTTTCACACGTGAATTTATGAATGATCATAGGGAAAGACTGCATGCTACTTCGAACAAAATCAGCTTGCTTTGAAGAGCCACATGAAAGTCTATACAGCTCAGTTCATTTGCCACAGCAGCCTCACCACCCATCGCCAGGTTCATTGAGCTGCCCAGCTCTGACTGCTGGCTTTCAGAAAAAGCTGAGCAATGAAAAAACACGTGCAAGCAGGTCAATAACGCATATACTGCATTTTGTCCATCTAAGCACTAAAGTACCAGGAAAGCTTTTACATGAAAATGACCTGAATAAATAGGTTTTCTGAAGGCAATACAGTTACAGAAAATTAAGCTAGGTAGTTGTTGTAACTAAAACGATAGAGTTGGCAATTTTGGAGATGCGAAGAGCTTGACTTTAATGATTTCATTCTCTAATAGTTAGTTACCACAGCTGAGTTAGTTACTACAGCTGAAAGTGGTCAGCAGAGAAGTGATAATTACAATAGCTGAGCTACAACACCTGGTCCCACGAGCTGAAATCACCTGAGATTAAGTTCTAAAATGGGCTTCTTCGAGGTACGAAACTGGTATTTCTGTAACTTGGCAAGTGGCATCCACAGAAACAAGAATTTAAAATGTCTTTAAAAGTGCATGAATGTAGATCACACATTCATCATTTCGCATTTGAATTATATTCATTTCACATGTATGGTACAACTGCAGCATAAGCCATGTACCCAGGATAATACACAGCAAGATCCTTACATTTTTCTTCCCCTCCAAACTTAATTAAACAAATCACTGTGATTCAGCCCATGTAACACACTGGCTCTTGAACAGTAAAATTTATATGTAACAAGCCAAATTTTATTCCTTTGTATGAAATCATAAATGTAAATGCTGAAAGTAAACTAAGTGCAATTGTCATATGCTTCTGACAAAACGTATTTTTGTTCTTAAACAAAGAAATTGTGTAATATGCAAGGCAGAGAAGCATGAGGAGTGCCTCCAGGAAGCGGTCTGATACAATAAGCACAAGGTCGACACAGCAATCATTGTTTCTTAAAGACAGAACTCACAGGATCACCGCGGAAACAAACACACTTCTTATCTGAACAGATAAAGAGGAGAATTTGGCCTGCCCAGTGGTAGCACTGATGTGATTACAGTTCATGCCACAACGTTATGTGGCATTCTATCACATTATGTGAAACCAATGAATTCTATTTTAACATGCATTTCAGACCACTTTATTAAATCCTGCTCAAACATGTACATCAATGAAAGCATCTGTGTTCAGAGCAGCTCTGAGTCTACACCACACTAAAGGCAGCTCCACACAACCGCGCTGCCCCGAGGCTGCTGATGCCAAAGAAATTGACTGTACTTTTCTAAATGCCACTGGTAGGCTTGTCTGTATTTGCTATATTTCTCTTATTTGAGCCTTTACAGAACAAAGGCTGTGCGCTGGTTTTGTATGAGGAAAAAAAATTCCTCCTAACAATCAGTGTCAGCTATTTTCAAATACAAATCAATCAGAATCTGAAAAAAATCCTTGTCCTGGCTTATGAGGAAAAAAAAGTCATGCTGCAGACATTTAAGCAGATGCTGTCTACATAAAAATTCCATGTAAAACAACAACAAAATATATTCATGTTCTTGAACTGATCATCACATTTCACCCAACGCTTATTATGTCAGCAATTTCATGTTTTAAAAGACCTTTCCTGACATCTACAGTCAGAATCATACTGAAATAAGGCTGAGCACTGTTGCTCACAAGGATATATCAATTTTCAGTGACTGAGATAACTGGCAAAGCAACATTCAGAATGACTGTGTGGCAGAGCAGAAGAAAACCTCAGAACTTCAGCATTCTCGTTGCTGTTATCAGAAACCAGAAATGCAGCTTTTTGCCATCTGCAATTAAAATGACATGTTACTGCCACAGTAACTGTCACTTATGAAATTAAACCTGTTCTATTTCAGTTTGTAGGATGCAGATGCTAAAAAAGACATTGATTTCACCAAACGGATTATCAGCTCAGCCCCACTACCACCTGCATAACACTCACAAGATGACAAACCAAAATCAACTGTAAGAAACAAATAAAAAATGAGCAAAGTTGATGCTTTACCACAGAACATTGCAGGACTTTCCTGGTTTGGACCGAGTGGGTCTGTCATCACTATGCTCTTAAAAATGACATTATATAGCACACATATGCAATAAAAAAATAATTGTTGTTGCTCATCAGTGTGAATCTTAAAATGCAGGATTGTCCAACCGGGTATTTGAAAAGACTCCTTGATTTGAGGAGGGGGATGCTCTGAGATACATTTTCCTATTGGAAAAGAAAGACCCAATGGCAACTGGGAGCAATCTCTTTGCTTCGTACCATATTTATTAATAAAAATTTCTGAATAATTCTCATAATTATCATAAATCTAGGACATAAATAAATATACCAATCAATTTCATGTAAAGTTTCAATAAACACAGAGCGTTCCATTCAGGATCGTTACTGGAATGAAATATCCTAACCCAAACACAACCTCCGTGCCTACAGACCAATACCAGCCAGGGAAGAGCTGGTTTTATGAATATGATGAGTTCCTGACTAGGATTCAAACGGCACAGAGCACATTACAAGCAGAACTAGCAATTACTGCTGTGTTACAATATACCGGTGGCTTTGTTACAGCATCTCACCATAACGTGCCTACTGATTCATGCTCCATACTGATTCATACTCCCAACCGTCGATGCATGGTGTGCTTGGAATTATTTTGGCAATGAGAATCTCTTCAGCCCACGCTACTCCACATCAAATTAAAAAATCGGTTCTGACCCCAATGTATTGTCTTCAATCTGCCGAAACAGAGCACCTGCCACACACGGCTGCCATTGGGCAGCATGAAGGGCTCTGTTTCTAGGGAAAGAGCTCTCTCTCCCTGCACAACGGCTGCACGCTATTTGGGGCCGGCACACAACGCTGGGGTGTGCAGCGGCTTTCAGCACCGCCCGGCAGTGCCGCGGCTGTCCGTGCTCCCCCCCCCCCCCCGGAGCAGCGGATCGCTTTCCGTGCCACCATTGTCGGAGCATTAATTTTTCAGGCGCACGGCTGTGGTTTCCAGGTCGCTGCTCACAGCCGGTACCGTACGCTTCTAGCGGGGTGGGTTACCCTGAAACGACACAGCAACGGCAGAACTACGACCGGACCGCAACCGGAGATATGCGGATATGTCATTTAGTGATGTTAACACCCCGGTCGCCAAGAAAGCGATGTATGTTAACGACATATAGAAGGAAAGACGCGCAGCTCGCACTGCTCTCTAAAACACACGTTTCCCAAGGGGAAGAGGACGGTTTCCCATGCAGAACAGCCCCACCCGGCTCACCTGGGGAAGGGGCTCCCGGGGAGGGGCGGAGGCAGCCCGCAGCCCGCACTCCGCTCACACCCGACCAGCGCCGGGTTCGGTCGCCCACCGGAACGCGATGGCAGCGCTGTGACAAACGGCTCGCGGCGCTCAGACAAAGCGGTGCCGCTCTGACAGGCGCCGGGTGAGACCGAGCCATCCTCCTCGCGGGTTCTGCTTTTCAGCGGAGCCCAAAGCACGCGGACGCGCCGGGAAACGCTAACAAAGGGCGGCCGGGAGAGATGCGAGAGCCACGAAACTGCCGGCAGCGCCTCCCGTAACCACCGCTCGCCTCCGTCCGTCGCACAAAGGCGGTCACGGCGGCAGGCGGCCACTTACCCACTTGCCAGCTCGCCTCGCCGTGCCCCCACCGCAGACACCGCCGCCGCCGCCGTCCCTCCGCCTCGCGGGGCGCGGCGCCACGTGCCGCCTCCCAGCGCGATGCAACGCCGCACGCGCTCACGCGCCCGCCCACAGCAGCGGGCAGCCCGGCCGCAGGGCGCGAGCCGGTGTCAAGGCCCGGAGGCAGCTCCGATACCTGCCCGGCCCGGCCCGCCCTGCGAGGGGCGGCAGCGGGAGGAGCGCCGCCAGGCTGCACCGTACCGCCCAGCCCCGGGAGCCGCCCCAGGGCAGCGCGGCCGCGGGCGGGGAGAAGGGCTGTTCGGTGCCTTGGGCGGCGGAAAGGGAGAACGGGTGAGACCGGAGCCCGCTGGTACCGGCACCGTGGTGCCGCCTGAGCTGTGCCCGGGCTCTGGATGCTGATTTGTTCGCGTCCCGTACTGAGACCTAACTCTGAGCGCAGAGCTTGCTTGGTGTGACATGCAAACCATTGCCTAATTTCATTCACCACGAAGTGTGAGGGAACTACCAAAAAAAAAAAAAAAAAAAAAAAAACCACGAAAAAATGCAGCTGTCAGCCCCAAAACAGCAGTGCAGGAAAACAGCTTTCCCTCTCTTCTGCATCCTTACACCCAGTACTTCTGTCACCTCTGTCAGGGTCCCATTCCCACAGATCAGCCAGCCATCAAGGCTGCAAGTCAGCAAGGTTTTACTACTGCTGCATCTCAAGCTTCCTGAGGAGCACACGGCAAAACCTGCTGCTGTGGAGGCTGAGGGGAGGCCTCGTGGCAGCCCCTAGTTCCGCAAGAGAGTGATTTCTGCTGGCCAGAGGGAACAGCATGGAGCTGCATAAGGGAAAGGATCTACACCTACCAGAGGGTGGTGGGCATGGCCCCAGGCTGGAGTTCAGGGTACGTTTGGACCCTGCTTTCAGACACAGGGTTTGTGTGGTCATGTACGGAAACAAGGGATGGACGTACTGCTTTGGAACCAGTCAGTTCCTTAACTTTCTGGCCCAGGTAAAAGTGCCCCTTCTGCTCTTGTTGAAGAGAACAGGATCTTATGGAAAAGTAATACCCATGGACCAAAGAGCCATCATGCACATTCTTCTGTGTCCAACACTGGGATAATTTAAAGGGAGAATATAGTTTTAGACTCTTTAATGATCTGCAGATCAGCAAATTACAAAGTCAGAAGTATTACGGGGGAGGGGGTTGGGAAATGGATTAAAAAATAAACCATACAACACTGAAATAAATGCTAACTCACTTTTTCATCTGCAGTAATCTGGAGTTCTACACCTCAAGAGGGTTGCCCATTCCCTTTTCATAACTGCAGTCATAGCATACACTGCATGAAGCCTCTGTACCAGATACGTTACTTGGAGGACAGAAAAGTATATTGAATGCTGTCTTTACATTAGCAATTACACGTATATATTTGTATCAAAAACACGTGGCCACAAACCATCTCAATTATTAAAGCTGAATTTCGCAGCACTCTTTTGAGGGATTCAGGTTTTTTACTGTTCTGCTTTGCTGCCCTTGCAGAACTTAAACATTTTAGACAGTAGAGTCTAGAACTTCAGTGGTAGTCACTAGAACAGAGGTAAAGTCAGCCTTCAGATCTATCAACTTCCTCAGTCAGTGTTTGTGCTTTCATGGAAGAGAAGCTTTAAGCTGAATTGAGATTTCCGTATTTTTTCTTAAGAACATGCTCTCTTTCTGCAAAGCGATAGCAGCTGTAAACCTCTCTGGCAAAGCAATGTTTGCAGAATCACATGGCATTCTAAATAATTATTTCACTGAGAATTTAGTAGATGTATCGACTTTCCGTGGAATAACCGTATCTGCGGTGTGCTATGATCGCGAAAAAAGACAGACGTCCACTAGATGGCACAAATACACCACAGAAAAGCAAGGAGCAGCCGTGATAGGGGGAGTCTACTATTCTTCGAGTTATATTTATGCAAAGAAAATGAGTACAGGTAGACTTACTGCACATGCAGCTTTAGTCCAGTATCCCACAAGTCATATAAAACAATCAGATGTCAACATAAGTAAAAGCTCAGTGCAAAACTTCCTTCAGAACTTTGTTTACAAGTGGCAGTAACCACACTTTCACTCATTTCTGTTTGTATTAAAAAAATACACAATCGTATTGAAACTAAGTATAAAGAGCCACTGGCATCCACACTGATTCCCCAACTGTCCCCTTTTCCTATCATGCTACTGTTGTTGATATAAACAAATAGTCTAATTCCTGGAGGCATCACTGGCAAGCCTGTGGTGGAGCAGCTACACTCAGACTATGCTCGCCTAGTCCCACGCACAGGAGAGGGAAATACATGATCAATACCAAAACTCATCATCTAGCTCTGCTTGACTGTAGATTATTTTAATATTGAGGGGAAAAAAGCAATAGAAATTTTTTATACTCATAAATTTTAAAAGTCAAAAATAACATAGAAAATAAAGCATAATTTCACTATATATCACAAGCACAGGATAATAGAGGCTGGAAGGGACCTCTGGAGATCATCCAAGTGCAGCCACCTGCTAAAGCAGGTTCCCTACAGCAGGTTGCACAGGAAAGCTTCCAGGTGAGTTTGAATATCTTTGGAGGAGACTGCAATCTCTCTAGGTAACATGCCCCTCTACCCTGTCACCCTCAAAGTAAAAAAGGCTTTCTTTCTCACATTCACATGGAACTTTGTTCCAGTTTGTTTCCATCACCCCTTATCCTGTTGCTACGCACACTGGTAGATCACGTCCAGGGAAAGGGCAAAAGTCAGCGGGCACAGGCTGGAAAGAGCCTGGCACCATCCACTTTACATCCACCCTTTAGATATTTGTAAGCATTGATAAGATCCCCTCTCAGTCTCCTCCAGGCTGAACAGCCTCAGCTTGGAGATGCTCCAAGCCCCTGCTCATCTTTGCACTAGGGAGCCAAGAACTGGACACAGGACTCCAGATGTGCCTCCTCCAGGGCAGAGTTGAGGTGGATGATCACCTCTCTTGACCTTCTGGCCATACTCTTTTTAATCCACCTCAAGATACACTGGCCTTCTTGGCCACACAGATACACATGGCCAACTTTTTATTCATCAGGAAACCCAGGTCCTTCCCTGCAGAGCTCCTCCCCTACCCCGTACTGATGCATGCAGTTATTCCTCCCCAGGCGTAGGACTTCACACTTGCTCTTGTTAAACCTCATAAGGTTCTCCACCTGTCTTTTTAGCCCTCCTGGTCCTAATGGATGGTAGCACAGCCCTCTGATGCACTAGCCCTCCTCCAAGCAACAGATGGACAAAGTAAACTAATCACACTGCTGTCAGGAAAATATCATCACCAAATCAGCTGCAGCTGTGAGCCCACAGGAGCAACTGAGGAGAGGGTCGAACTAGACAAAGGAGGTCCAGCTACAGCAAGTTGTCCAGGACTGCAGCCTGGCAGGTTTTGAATATCTCCATGGACAGGGAAACTCCACCACCTCACCCAGCAGCCTGCTACACCATTTGACCGCTCTCACAGAAGAGGAAACAACAACTGCACTGTCAGATTTAAATTGAGCTTCCTATATTTTCATTTGTGCCCACTGACTTCTGCCCTTTCCTTATCACTAATACTGCCTCACCACCCATTTGGCATTTATAGACACATTTCCTCCAATGCATTTTCTCCACAGACTGAACACCCCCAGCTCAGTCAGCCTCTCCTTATGTGAGAGATATTCCAACTACTTCGTCATTTTTGTGGTTCTTTGCTGGTTACACCAAGCCCTCCTGAGCTACTGAGAATCTTGCAGAGCCTCTCACTGCAGGAGGTAGTGACCTAAGGTAAGTCAAGACTCTGTTACACCTTAGTGCCCCAGGCCTGATCCCAGCACTCCAGCTGGGGTCATACAGATTCGTTTAAGAAATGGCATTTAAATAATAGGTCAGCTTTCCCACACATGCACCATTTTTGCATGCATTTTGTTCTACATGAGAAGACAGAAACCCTAAACTTAGCCCTCTTTAATTAGCACCACATAGAAATATCACTATTTTCAGATCTGGGGTTACAAAAAATAAAATAAATGCATTTTCAAATGAACTCTATAATTGCTCTTTAACATTGTTCATCTAAATTAACATTTAGGGACAACACTTGTAACACCGCAATGCGATGGAAAGTACAGCAACAATAGCAAGGTGGCGAAGTTTTTGGCTGCAGCAACTGTGGACACAGAAACAAAGGAAAAAATCTGCTTACCTTTGGAAGGCCTCAGTAGTCAGGGATCTCCAGTGAGATACCCTTACCTCCACTGCCAACCCTTAAATGAGGTCTGGGAAGGGGTGGATCATGGCTCCACTCCTTCTGGTCACTCATTGCTTGCACCTGAGCTCCCCTAGGTTGGCCCTGCCTTCCCACCAGGTGCTCAATCACTGTTTCAGATCATGACTTAGCATTTCAGCTACAGTACAGTAGGACACAAAAAATTAAGCAGCATTCAAAAAAAAAAAAAAGGCCACAGAAGTTTAATCAAGCACTTCAAATTTTAATAAGTTCATAAAAACCATCCTTTTATTCTCTCCACTTTTGACAATACACTTGCCTTGTTTTGTAGAAAAAGCAGCCCCAATAATTACAGCCTCACCTTCATTATTCTTCTAATACTTTTCCTCCATTCCCAACTGTAGAAAACAGAAAACAGATTAAGTAAGACTTAATGTCTGCCCTACTCTGCTTTCTACCAACCCCAGATGATGATTAAAACAGGTCATAAGGATTCCACCATTTTTTGGTCTTTCAGCAGTTGAGAACAGCAAAGAAGATTCTTTGAACAAAGTCCAGCAGAGATGATCATATCCCCTGACTCACATTTGATTTCTTTCATATATGACAGTCCACTGATTTAAATCTTCCACAAATTTTGGCTTGTTTTGTATTTTCAAATATAAAATATTTTATTTTAATGCAAAGTTGTTTAATTCTTACTTTTCTTTTATTGTAGTTGCTTACAAAAATGTATTCAAAATAATAGGAGCAGAAGTGATGTCTGAATATCAGCATTGTTTTTGTTTCAGAAAGCTGCTTCAGTCACTGCAATGACACTAGCTTTATTATACCTGTTGTGCTCCACGATCCACTAATTTTTACAGTTGACAGTCATGTAAGAAGGGTTATTACTGTGTTATGGCTTTAGTAATAAAGACAAAGTATAAATTTCATGTGGGAATAAACACTTATTAATAAGATGGAACATTTGTCTTTTTAACTTAGATTCCATTTTGAAGGCTTTATACACAAAATAAGGTGTTTAGAAGCCACTACTGAAAGAACCGAGAGCAGAAAATGAACTGGCATAAAAAAAACTGTTGACTTATTTACAAATGGTGATAAACCACAACATATAACAACCTCCCCTATTTCTGTAACTGCCAAATGAGAGACGTCAAAAATAAGAAGTATGGATGCATACATTTTAAAATAAACAATTCCTTCCAGTGGCTCAGAAGCCTAATCTGATACAAGCATTTTTCAGATACTCCTGAATGTTTTCTAAGTTGTTTTTAATTAGCAAAATGTAATACATACACAACACACACTAAATAACACAACTGACAAAATACAATATGTAAAATCAAAATATATCGATTTAGCTTGCAATTAGCTTTTATCTACAACTATGAGACAGTATTTCCAGTTAACTCAATATTCTGTATAATTTACAACTGTAACAATCATAACGCAAAATAGACAAATTCTAAAAGCAAAAAAAAAATGTTTTTCTTGTTATTTAATAGGTTGTTTACGTACTCTTTAGGGATGCTTTCAATATTAGCTGGTAATCACGTTTTTTTAAATTATTATTCAAAACATTAAGCAGTCATTGCCCCACCTGTTGGTCAATGCAAAGATGTGCAACAGTCAACTCCCCCACTTCCAGTCCTCCACATGACACCTGTGAATACACACCACATCAACCTCAGCTGCCATACATTCTGGAGCAGAGTGATCTGATATACAATATCCTGCATAGACAGATATTAAGAGAATACCATAAGATTCTGATAGCACACCTCATAGTCTAAATTCATAGCTCTTCTGCTAAATACACTAAATATTTTAAAGATTAGCTCTCTCTACACTTTTATCTAATGAGTCATAATGTAAAGATCTGTGTCAGCTTTCTAACAACTTGAGTTGTGTGAAGGATTCCTGATTTATGCTCTTTAAAAAAACTTTTTTATTCTCCCAATATGATTTGGAAATCTGACCATGCTTTTTAATTAGTTTTATAATATTTACTTCAATACACCTTTTAAAATACCAGTTTTCACTTTTTATTTAATATTGGGATAGTATTTAAATGGTACATAAACACTAGGCAAAAGGAGATGAGTAGTTACACGACAAAAACAATAAAGAACAATTGATATTCTTTATTAAGAAAAACATTCAGTAAGCAAAATACATTCATAAAATACATAGACATTCTTCACAATATTTGAAGTATTGAAAAAACACTTGTTAAAAACCCAAACACATAGGTTATCATCATCAGTATGAAACATACACTGGCTCAGCACTTTTAAGGCAAACATGTATGTTATTCTCCTCCTGTTAGCTCACAATAAAATAGACAAAGTTCTGTAACCACGTAACAAAAGCAACTAGAAATAAAATATTAATAGAAAACAGGAGATAATCATATCATATACTTGTTTCTTTCATATAATTATATTATGTATGCAGAAGTCACAAAACCTAGCCAGACTTGATACCAACCCCATCAAAACAACCCACAAAAAAATCCCAGACAGTTGGGAGGGCAGAATTTTGCAGAGTTGGTTGCTTCACATGTATTCAGAGATTTCACAAAAGTAATCACTGATTTGAAGAAAACAGAGGTAGAATACAAAGTCATCCTTCATAATTTTCAATAATAAGTCCTTATAACACAGAAATGTTATGTTTGATTGCTCAAATACTCGTTACTCCTTGAAGCTCACGTTTCTAGGGGAGAGAAAAGAAATTTCAAAATAATGCTACTACATTCTAATGAAAATTAATGAAAATTAAGATAAAGCAGTAGTAATAATTAGCAACTTTGTGATCTCTTCTGTTATTCCTAAATATCAACCATTAGTGTACTACCTAAAACTCTCTATTCACTTCACTGACTTATTGCTCAAGTGCTTAGCAAAGTAAACGTGAGCTGAGGAGGAAGATGAATTCTTGAGAGGATTAAATCAGATCACAGAAATACAGTTACAGAACAATGCAATTACAATGTATGCTTTACTGTGTTAAGTTCCCAGGAAGGAATAAGTAGATAGACTGAAAGATGATGATAGATGTGCAGAGATTATTCTAATGTACTTATCCACAATACATTTATAAGGTAAGACAGTAATTTAGTTTGCATATGAATTAAAAAATACTTTCTTTCAAATCACATACTTTGTGAAATTGAAATATTTGCTGATAGGATCTGATAATGACATAAAAACTAAGTAGGAAAAGTAGAAGGATAAAATATTTCACCACATGGTATTCTTCAAGTTTATCAACCAGCCTACATTGCATTCAACTATAAAGCAAGAAAGAATAAGGACAATACTCCACTAATTACGTTCATTCGAAGAAATATATTACTTATCATTATCTTAAGAACAATACAGAAATGATCCACAGACTACTAGGCAAAATGTTGATTTAATATGCAACAAGGTTTGCTTAATGACTCACCAGTGAAGCAGAAGAAAAAAAAAAAAAGACAACTCCTGTGTTGTCCTCATTAATATTTTATTTTTGTTTCTTAGTTTCACTGTCAAAAACTTGTGGAAGAAAAATTGCTGGCAATGTGGATCAGGCCACACTGACCTCAGTTCTCAGGAAACTTACGTTTTATTAACAAAAGCAAGCCTAAGAACAGGACATATGTATTTACCAACATAAATAACTTAAACTCTTGTCAGTTTGGAATTCTGCTTCCCAGAGCTAGCAGACAGACAGTTACATTCATAAGCTTATTGCCTGATACGCTATTTACCAAAATAATCACTGCTCTCTCTCCCTGTCTTTCCATTCTTCACTGCAATGTGTTACACAATATGGGAAAGACAGGATGTGAAGTCGGTGATGCCTGTAACATGTAACAGACATCATCTAAAACAATACTCTCTAGAAGAATAAAAATGACAGTGAAAATGAACAAACTGATTAAGACCTCTTTTTTTTTGGACTCTGATGATCATGTTCTTAGATATTTATAGCTTTTAAGCACTAACAATGCAAAATACAGTAATAATTTTTATGCACTTTTAGATACTATTTTATCTAACATGTTGAGATCGAATTCATTCTTGTTGGACTTTTTCCTACATAGTGTCTCTTGAATTTTATTTCTCATAATATGAACTGTTTGTCATTTGCAGATAAAAATTAACAGTAATATACTGACCATATATACCTGGACATAATTAATAACAGTAGTAAGCAGGCAATATGTATTTGGGAGCTGTCAGCTGATGCAAGACCATTAACAAAAACAGGAATGGGAATCCATTATATGGTCTTTGGAGAGCACTTTGCATCTACTGTTTCCAATCAAAATTTCATAGTAGAAGACAACAAAAGAAGAATTAAGCACCACCTAAAGTGTTGAAGAACTTCATATAATTAAAAAAGTATTATTTAGAAACCATTTAACTTAGATGGAAACAAAGTGACTAAATCAAATCACTTACTTTTCAGTTGCTCCTTGATCAGCTGTCCCTACAATTGCACGATCTGGTGAACGTGAGGGAGATCTTAATGTAGAACTGAGAGGAGGTGAAGCACGTAATGACGACGTAGAGAGACCATGTCGGCGCATTTCCTGAATTGCACGCTCTCTACCAACAGACAGCAATTTCAGTTACAAAATACTTCACTACTGCAGGGTGTCAGAACAAAAAAAATGTTTTATATTTTACTTTGGCGATTATCACAATAGTTTGCAAGAGTCTTGTTTTCTTGTAGTGTCTTTCAGTTTTCCTCTCACATTTATGATAATGGATATATTTTTTAATGCAATAGTAAATGCACAAAATGTAGGAAGGAAATCAGAAATCACTTTTTTTTTAATTAAACAGTTTTCAAGTTATTAGTTTTACATCAGGTCATGAGAAAATTAGATTTTGCATAACAACAAGAACACAATTTTCCATATCAATTATGTTTCCATGTTAAAAAAAAAAAAAGCAACAGTTTTAAAAATAAGAGACCCACCTCAATATGAAGAAAACAACCTCTTACCGTTCAAATCTTTCAGTCGTTAGCTGTCTTTTTAAAACATCACAGTCAGTCTGCAGCTGCGCAACTTTACTTCGAAGTGTGGAAACCTCTCTATTATGACTGCTTCTAAAAAAAACCATCAGAAGCAACAACGTTTTCTTTGAACGCCAATAGATAGGAGCTCAGAGGAATTAGAGCAAGTCAACAAAAGAAAACCAGAAACTCAACATGCTGTTTCATACAGACCAAATCACAGAGACAGATTAGAAGGAGAGCCAAGCCAATTCCATGGCATGTTTGTAGAAGAATCTAAGGTGAGAAAGATGTGAGAAGCTACTAAGTCTCTCATTCCATCTTTACTGCAACACATTATATTCTTTTTCAGGCAAAGATAAGCAGCAATGTTCTATAAAAGCAGACAAAATAATTACATTACTATTCTACTGATTGTCTTCTGCTGCAATATTAAATCATTTTTATGCATACAGTGAAAAAGAAGAAAAAAATAGTAGCCATTCATAAAAAGTACAAACATAACTGATATAACTGCAGTAAAAAGTATCAGTCTAGAAGGGAACATAACTGAATAACATCTAAATAAAACTGGTATTAATACAAGCTCAAACCAGCAAAATCTGCAGGTTTGCCAAGTACACTCCTGATTTTGGGGTCAATTGTTTCAACCTCAAGGATCAAAAAGAAAAAGAGCCCTGAAAATCTTAAGTGACATAATTAAAAATGTTTCTCAGCAAATCACTGATCTGGACAATTCAACAGTTGACTGCAATACACTCCAAATTGCATTACAGAACAGAAAAAAAAAAAAGTCACTCCTTGAGTGTAAAAGGAGTTGTCTAAACAGGTATATTATTCCATGTCTTCAAAGCCAGTACGAAGCTGAGTGCTGAGAAATCAGTTGTGGAAAGGGAAAGATGTCGTAGCTCACTGTGTAAGCACTGAACTGCAATCCTGAGAAAACAAGTTCCTTTCCTAGCTCAGTATCAGACTTCATGTCTGGGCACCCATTGGTCTCTGACTCCAGGCAGATGCAAAATACTCAAGAGATGGGAGCCCCCAGAAACGCAGAACATTTTTCCTTGTCTTCCATATTCATCAATAAAAATTCTATAATAATTCTGATCTAGCCTATTGCAAATAGTTGCAGAAGGCTTCTGATGATATATTATTCAAAGTCCTTCCGAAATTGGCATGTATTTCCAGGGTGAAGGTAAGAACTCAGAGCCCAAAATCATTATTGTAAGATAAAGAAAAAGCAGTTTTGCGAATTCTGAGGTTAGTACATGTAAATAACTTTGAAACAAAAGTAGAGATGATGAGTTAAGTCACTCAAAAATTAAGGAAGATTTAAAATAACAGAATTTTGGAACCCCTATGCACAGCAATCATCCTATAGTAAAATTACATGGTGATCCAATATTTTTCACGTGGCATCTGGACTTTCCACAGTCAGTATCTCCAGCTAGCATCAAGTAGTTTAGATACTGAATATGCTGTTTATTTAGTACCTGATGACTGCAGTCTCAGTGACTCATTTACCCCATTATGAAAGAAGCATTTTGAGTAATGCAACTATTCACTCTTCACAGAGTTCAAAATTTATGGCAGTGAAGAGCTTCAAAGCTATACTTTTGACAATCCTTCTGAAGTTAGAGGCTCTATCAGTACTATTTTATAAACAGAATGGAAGCACAGGCACAATAGTGTCAAAAATGTAAATAATGTTCAAAAACATCGATGCACAACTTCTGCAAAGTTTCAGTTCTAGCTGACAAGTTCACTGCATTTTTCACAAGACACAACTGTAACCCTCACATACTTCAATCACAGTTGTGAGCATTTAAAGCTTCTGTCCTTCAGACTCCAAGTACTACAAAAACTGAATACTAGAAAATGGAAGCATATGCAACTAGTTCTTATACCTGAACACAAGCCTGGCAAGACAAGGAACCTCCAATATAAACACAGTATTGACATTTGCAATAAAGAAGAAAGGAACCTTAAAATGCATTCAGAAGAAATCTTTTGAAAGAAATATTATGAAGTGATTGAAACAAAGTTTTGTATTTTTGGCATGCAAGAAGCTGAATTTATGTTAAATGAAAACCTCATTCTTTTCTTGTTTTGTAATTTCCATGTTTTATTTCACAGTCAGGACATTCCATTAGTTTATATCTTTGTACGTGATTAAAATTCTTTTTTTCTCAAGTAAACAAAATTCAGCAAATCTAAAACATGAAGCAATGAGATGCACAGAAGTGATTGATACCATCACTCTCTATACCTTTACTGAGATCATCATTATTTGATGTATGGCATCAATTGTCAGTAGTAAGCCTTTACACACATCAATCCAAAGTGATTTTCTTGACATTTGTGTCATCACACAATAGCTTTTAACAGTTCAGGTATGTTATATTCTACTTCTTGTAATAGGGAAGCGTTATCTGTCCTTTTACTTTCTGCTTGTTTCCCTTCTCAACCTACTGCAATGTTCTTTTATTCTTTTCTGAACTTCAGTTTGACTTCAGGCTTCATCTTCATCTACATTCAGCTGCTATTTCAGCATCTTGCTATTCAGTGCAAAGTTACCACTACAATCACTGGCTAATGATCCCCACAAGAATAAATGGTGTTACCATGTTATGATGAGACCTAAAATGAAAACTTCAAAACTTAGTTTACTGAAATTTTACATAAAGAGTTATAATGAAAGTGCTGTAGACATTCACTGTAGGTATTGGTTTCAGTTCTTTTGGCTTTTGACTGTCTCCAAAGAGGGAGACTCCCCAAACTCTCCATGCAATCAGCATCAGTACTCAATCCGTGGAACTGGAGCATTAACTCTTTAACTCCCAGTACTCTACATGATGTTATGATATGGAATACTGACAACAAAAATCACAAAATCACCATACTGGCAAGAAGTGTTCACTTAGAAGGAATCTTGTGTTCCCACTGGTGCTCATTGCCCATCATCCCTGTCACTGGGCACCACAGAACAGACACTGGCTCTGTCTTCCCTCCTGTTCAGTTATTTACATACATTGATAGATCCTCTCCAGAGCCTTCTGGTCTCCAAGATAAGCAGCCTGAGCTCTCCCAGCCTTTTCCTCATAGGAGAGATGCTCCAGTCCCTTAAACATCTTCGTGGCCCTTCATTGGACTCAATTCATTAAGTCCATATCACTCTTGTACTGAGGAGCCCAGAACTGGACACAAAGCCCCAGGTGGGGCCTCACCAGTGCTGTGAAGAGGGGAAGGACCACTTCCCTTGATCTCGGAGGAAAGGATTTTAGTGATTGCACTGAAAAGATGGGAGAGTTATATCAGACAAATGAATTTAAGAAATGTGTAACTTACCTCATTTTGACATGAAAAAAAGAGTCTGATGTGAGAAAGAATGATGACTAGCAGAGAAAGTACAGCAAACATTTTGGAATAAACACTGTGAATGGCGAGAGAAATTTCTGCTTATTCTCAAGACTGTGAACTTAGCAAGGTGTACCTTCCTGTTAGAGAAGGTTTGTTTTAGAATTCTCATTTGAATTCACTGCTAGTGTTAAACTGAATTCCACCAGATTTATTAATTTAAGTGATATGAAAGATAAATTTTTCACTAAACAATGCCACAATTGGCCAAAAGGTCTATCTGCAAAATTCTACTCAGCCACACTGAACATCAAGAATTTGACTGTAAGTGCCAGAATAAAGGAAAAAAAGCCTCTTTGTAACCCACATAACACATATAACTTAAGACTTACAGTTTCCCCTCAGCAAGTGTTAGCTTGTCTTTCAGTAACTGAATTTCTGAGTCTTTTTCATGAGACGTTAAATGGTTCTGAAATTCTTTATCTCTACTGGTAGCCAGCAATGTTTCAAGATTCTGAATTGTAAGTCTCTCACTGGATAACTGCTTTTTCAGCAACTCTGCTTCTGATTTAACATCTTCTAATTCACTTAGAACCTAGGGCACAAATTTTATTCATAATTAATACACTGTTTTACAAACACAAATAGCTCTCTTTCCTGAAGAGCTGTAAAAAACAACATGATTGGAAGTTTCATAAAAGTGAAAAGGAAACTGAGCTCAAAAAACACACTGAGGCAGAGAAATATTTAAAACTATACTTAATTAAGAAATATTCAAATATCTGTCAAAAAGTTTTACTGGGAACTGGATTATTGAGTGTGTAGGCACTTGGATAGTGCACGCATTTGCACAGGTATAAAAACAGTACATACTATACTTGATTTTATTTGACTAGGATGGCTCAAGTAGTTTCCCAATTTTTGCTGAAATTGTAGAATTGTTTGGTTTTGTCATTAATTTTACCAATATAAAGAAATTCTGTGGGGATGAAAACCACAGTTCTCAAGGTCTTGAATAATCCACTAGGAGAAAGCTTAATAAATCACTAAGTAAAAACACTGATTGGTGCAATAACCAGAAAAACAAATGATGTAAATTGACAAATTTTACTCTCTGAAGCAATGTATTCTTTTTCTTCAAAAACCATTAAAAACAAAAAACATGAAAAGCAAAATATGATTTATTATAAAAATTAAATTTGCTTTTGCTGCTTACCCTTTCATAATCCATGCTTTTAGATGCAAGCTGTCGAGATAAAAGGTCTTTGCTAGCTTCAAGTTTAACACAAAGTTCTCTCACAGAAGTCAGGTCAGCCAACACAGAGGACTTATCCTGATGTTCACGTTTAATGTCCTCTTCCAATTTAGACATATTTTTTGTAATGGAGGAGATCTGAGATTCATAAGCTTGATGTGCAATCATATGCTAAACAAAAACAAATATGGATACCTTTTCAGGAACATTAGTAGTCATCTCCCAGTTAACAGATTTTTATTTTAATATTTCCTTTAGCCTTCAAAAATTAACTTTTCCTAAAAAATTAATTTTAGATTACATTATTTTTCTTTTCTCTTTCTAAATCACAGCTAAGAACAACTGATAAATAGTCTCTGCATTTTTACATCACCATCTCAAAGAATTATACATGTACATATACATGTACAGACAGGAGTAGAAGGAAGCTGGAATTCAGAACAGAATTAAAAGTTTCAAACTTCAAAATACAATTAATTTATTTAGCCATCTCACATTATTTTGTCTCTTATCTGCTTTGGTAATTAAAAGCACGAAACAAAATATGGTCAGTCCAGAACTATTTATATGTTCCAAAACTTCCTTGACCTCCACGAAATTACTGTTTCTGGAATATAAACCTCATTATTTTAGAACCATTGCATTAGGTTACTGCACTTTGTAAGCCTGATTCTGGAATTTGGACTACTACTTATTAAATATTATCAGATTTGTGCATTTAACCTAGCCACTAATGCTTCAAATACTTCATTCAAAGCTTCAGATAAAATCAAGATCTAAGCTCACACAATGCTTACAAAGATAGATGGAAATATTTTCAAGCAACTAAGTAAAAGTTTATTACAGAGACTATAACAACGATCTCCCTACAGAAGAGATCTTAAAATACATGCTGAGATTCTAATTTTGGGAAGCTAGGGAAGGGAGATTAGAGAAGGAAAAAGTCTATCTAACCAGAATCAGTTGCTGTTTCAAAAACTCACCATCCATAACTGAAGCAGTCATACATAGCAATTAATTTATGTTCAAGAATAGAAGAAGTGTGTTGACACCTCACTTTCTTGACAGAATTACACTGTGTAGGTTATTACCTCTTGAATCTCTTTTTCCAGAAGTTCTACTCTCTCTCGAAGATGTCTCCGATCCGTATCTACAGAAAGGAGTTCAAGCCGTATTGAGCTGCTTTCCCCTTCAGCTTGATGAGCCTTGATTTCCCAGTCCTCAGCTTGTGTATGAAGCATTCGGAACTTCTCTAACAATTCTTGGTTTTCTTTTTCCTAGGCAAAGCAGTAAAACACTGCAATCATCAACATACCTTCAGAGAGCTTGGCCTTTTTTCACGCCTATGAAATACTCCCCATATATTTTTCATCACAAAGTAGAAACATTCTCCATCATCTTACTCCTCTTATCTTGGCAATTAGTAAAGGGCATCATTCCTTTTACAAGACCAAATCACAAACAAATGCTGATGGCACTGAGTTTCATTAAACAGAAGTATTGACATCTAGCTGCTACTAGTAAGTTTTAAGGCTCCCACATTAGAGGTTCTTTTGAACTTCTTGTTCAAGTTGTGTTGTCAAGGGTCACATTACAGAGATGTACTCATCACAGTATTTTTTTCATGAAATTCCATCAGAAGACCATTTTTGGCCATTTTTCCTATCATACTCTTGTTAATGTGTATATTACAGCAACACTTGAAAGACCCACCTGGCATAAGCAGCCTATAATGAAATTACAAAATTGCAAACTTTAGTGCTTATAAGATATGCAATGACAGAATAACTGCTGCTCAAAAATTTTAATTTTGCCCACCTGCAAATGTACATTATAAGACAATGCTTAACCTTTCTTCTTTATTTAGCCCCATTCCTTTTTTCTCCTGTTCATTCAGTGCACAGCGGGATGAGCATACTGCTAGTAGGAATCAGATTTATCCAGTGAGGAAAACTATTGTTTGTGAAATTCTTCTGTATTTCTGGCACAACTTGGAAGGTACAGACAAAAATAGGGGCATTCGGATGCAGAAACTCACAATCAAGCAACTGAACACTATGCAGAAAAGTAAATCCTTGTCTCTGCAGACAACATTCACGTGTTGTGACAAATCCCTGAAATTAACCTTTCATAACTGGCAAATTAAATTCTACAGTTTCTTGGTACCTGACTTGAATGATTGGACTCCCATTCACCACATTTGTAGCTTTGGACATAATGACATATAGTTATAAACACTCTTATCAACTAAGCTACAAGAGTTTTAAATTGAAGGTTCAAAGCTACTGACCATTAGTTCTTCTCTGTGCTTCAGTTTATACTTATAAATTGTATTCAAATTTACAGACATTCATCTAACCTATGCAAACTGAAGTCAGATCAAAACTCATTCTTTTACAGCCAATTTCACATAAATTTGCCAGTTCATGTTGTCTTGACTACTTATTCAGTATTGATTCATATAGAATCAAGAAAAGTAGTCCACTTATTTTAAGTACTTATAAGATTTAGTACACACACTTCACACTTTTGAATCGAAGTATGAGAATAAAATACATTTAGCAAGAGCACTGTTTTGTCAGGACAGCAAAAAGATTGAAATCTTATTGACCATGGAGAAAACATTCCAATATGCTATTTTTACAATGTCTTACAGAAGAACTACACCTACAATTTCTCTTTCAATTTTTTTTTCCAAATATTAAAAACTATAATTCATGCTTGCTTGTTGTCTATAATCATAATAGAGTAATAGATATTTTACTTTTTGACTTGCTAAAACTCACAAAACTCAAGAAGTAAAACAACATTCAAATATTTGTTTGTCATTCACCAGTGTCATGGAGAACTGAAACATCAGTGAAATTCTGTGCACCAGAATTCAAAGTTCTATACGAATTCACTACTAAAAAAGTATTGCAGATAAAACAGGGGGAAAAAAAAAAGAGAAAGAAGAAAAAGGAGGGGTAGTAGGTAAGGAGAGAACAGGACACAAAATTCCACATTTCTTGATTTGTTTACAATATCCTAACAAAACCTATTGACGTTACCAAAAACAGTAATGGGTGCCTACAGAAAAAGATTTACCTTTGAAGCTATCAGACTCTCAAATCTGGAAACTTCAGTTATATAATTATGCACTCTTGTTTTCATTTCTTCCTTTTCACGTATTGCATCTTGAAGCTCAGAACTAACAGCCTAAAATGATTACATAAAGGCAAAATAGTGCATTACAGGAAATTTATCTCTTTATATTACTGTATCAGACAAGCAAAGTAATTACACGTGCCCTAGATGTTATTCTTAAACTTTTAAGTAGTTTAGTCAAAATCCTTTGGCATCAGTAGGGTTCAAAAATATCCCCTATTGCCTTAGCTATAAAAGAACACTTTCCAGGAAAGAATAAACACAGAACAATGTGGAACAACAAATATCATATCAATTCATAAAATCTACAGCTTTTCTGGCAGCATAGCTATAGCTGTTTGGAAAACCTAGTATACACGTTTGGAAGCTGGAAATTTTTTTAGCCACAAAATAAATCATTCCTGATGCAGGAAGGTTTTGTGTGCTGAATCACTACAAAAACCAATTTTGTAACATTACTTTAAAGTCAAATTGCAAAGTAAATTAACTAAAAGTTTTATTAAGACTGTATTTAAACATAAAAAATGCTTCAGGGAGTTTACTTGAGATCTTGGAACTGCTAACTCTGGCCCTCTCTGAGGTTCAGCTCTGTGTCCTCATGTATGAGAGCTAAAAAGACACCTACATTTTATCTTGACTATCAAATATGTTTATTTTCACAGTATGTTAACAGCCTTTCTGTGTCTCTAACTTACAATACGCTTAATTCAGGCTGCTTGTAGTAGCCTTCCAAGCTACCTGGGAAAGATTCAGTCACTGAAGTTTGATATCTAACACTTCATCTTATTAGATGCCTGTGGAGGCATTTCTAATTTCAATAATACACCTACATATCTGTATACTGTAACACAGGATTTACAGAAACAATCAGAGTACTACATCACTTAGAATACCTTTCTGTAATACACATTTTAGCTCCAGACTCAGTAGAGTTGATTGAATGGAAAAACATGATTTAACAGACAAGGCATTTACAGTGATTTCAAATAAGCATTTGTATCTCGGCACCAAAATTGTACAAAGTATTTGAATCTTATGATGAGCAGCAATGGCTGTATTGTTGTACAAACTGAATGGGCAGTGAGGAGTTGCAACAAAACTTCAGGCAAGCTCTGTAAAGCAAATTCACATACTAACTACCTTTTCTAATGTTTAACCTGATGAAACAAGTTTACTTACCCTAAAACACTGGGTAGTTTTTTTTAGAAATTGCTCATATGCACATTCTCTTGCATGGTGACATCCACCTCATGCATTTGGAACTGGGAGACTTTCAGTGAGCAGTAATCAATTAGTGCACAAAACTCATTATTCCTCAGCACTTCAAATAAGGGATTAACAAAAGAGCGCACATTTCAGCCTTTCCCAGCTGCAAATCCCAGACTCAGAGAATTCCAAAGAAGAACAAATGGAGCAATGATGACTAGGAAGCGTGCACGTGGACATACACTACATATGCTGTTTGTGTTCTTTGGAAGAATGAGCCTAACACAACAGTGGTTGCTTTAACTCCTGAACCCTAGGGGACATCTCAAGATGCAGATCCCACAGTGATGGCAATCAAACACTGAACCTCTCAACCACTTCTATTTCAGAGTTTTTATTTAACCTAAGCCATCAACTTGAAGCAGTTCATCTTTCAACAAAACAAATTATGATACTCTAAGAAAACAGGTAATCCCCCAAGGCATTAAAGATTTTATCTCAACTTTGATTTTTATAACTGATAGAAATTTAATTTATGCACTAGTAGAATGCACCTTACAAAGAAAGTGTTCAGTCATCAGCAACTGAAAGGGATTGTATGCCTCTCTGCTGGAAGACCGACCACAAATACACACAAAGTAACACTCTGAGCCCTCTGGGCAATCGTAAACCACTTCCCATCTACTTTTTAGCCTAAAGCTACTGACTGGCTAGCTGCTAGCAAGCAGTTACAACTCTGAACTACTAGAAGAAAGATTAAATTATTATGGAAAAATTAAATAATATAAAAGTACATAACAAAAATAAAAGATAAGGTTCTGCAAACTGTCAAATAAAGTACCTGAATGGGATCTCCACCAAAATAAATTATAAAAACAAATCTAACACACACACTCACATAAGAAATACATTCCCAAAAAAGCTGCAATATACAGCCAAATTCTAAGATACTACCTCACCAAGACACCTACCTTACCAAAGCAAAGACAATCCAATAAGAATGTTTTCTCCAGGCACCTTTGAATTCACCATCTAAAAACCCCACACTATTTTGACACAATGGAAAGGGAACCTTTACTATTTCTTATCAACTGTGCATCCTTATCCATTCCTGAAATCAGGAAACAAATTCAGACTATTCAGACTGTCATATAAAATAAATTTTCTTTAATCTAACTTGTAACCTTTAAACTATTCCATTTTCTCACCAGAGTTACTCTTTCCCAATTAATCTGTAGACTTCTTGTAGAGCAATGCAAAAAAAAAAGGAAACTGACCTTGCCAGAATTGAACATTAAGCATCAGCCAATGCTTCTTTACAGCCACCATTATCAAGTTCCTTAGAAAATAAACATTAATATCTATATTCAAAACACCCTGATTTCAAAATGCGGCATAATTCACCAAATACATCCAATGCTTCATGAAGGTGATGGATAAAACTAAATAATCACTATGCACTAGAATGTATTCTGATGAACTAACAATATTCTTTTCTCCTCTCTCTGTGTAATCTTTTAATAACTACTTTTTTTCTTTTTTTTTTTTTAAGCAATAACTGGCAACTATGATGTGATATAACCAAGTAAGAAAATTTCATTATAAGAAAAGCAATTATGTCCTCAATTTATTTTATTTAAGTTTCTTTTTTAACCTGGGGAAGATTGACTAAAAGGAACGTTTGTTTACGTATTTCTTACTGTACTGACTATGCATTTACAAATTCCCGGCTTAATTGCTTTTGCCCAGTAACTGTTACTACACCAGCATTCAAGAAATGTCAACAATTAATTATAATAAATCAAACTCAAGATGCAGCAGTAGTCGTGTACAATAAGCAAACAATAAATAATTCAATACTTCAGCAGTATGTTCTATCTTCATACCTGGTTTTCTCTGGTCATTGTAGCCAGATCATCTTGTAGTCGTCTATTTTCTTTCAGAGCTATTTCCTTTACTCTTCCTGTTTCTGCAATCTCTGTGTGGGATGCATCAAGTTGGCGACGCAAGCTAGATATCTCACGGTCTCTGCTGCTCAAGAGGTCCTTCAGCTGGCTATTGAGGGAGAGATTTTTGAAAATCTTATTTAAGATGCCCCTTCTCACACTATACTGCATACTGCTGAAAATTAGCAAACATGGATTTTATATACACAGAAAGTTTTTTGTTGTTGTTTCCTTCTTTTCTTTTTAAATGGTACAATTCTCACTCTCCAAGACTGACAAACAAGCATAAGCTAAGCATGAAAGTAACTTAAGGGTGTGACATTAAGATACACAAATAATTAAAATGATGCTTAAAAACAGACAAGGTGGAAAGATCAGATGAAACAGCTAAAAACTAAATAAATATATTTTATTAAAGACTATACTTGTAGCTTAAGCTTGAAGAATTAACTTATCAAAATTAGAGATCAGCTCCTGAGTTTTAGCAGGGTAAATCTAATAATCTAATAGTACCTAATGGAGTACTTGTAATACTAAAAAGCCAATTGAGAACAAAGAAATCTTACTGATTTGGTAAAGTAAGAATAGACAAACAATTGCTAATTTGTAATTGCTGTCTTAACAGTAACCCAGCACCCTGCCATTTAATTGCAGGAGGAGTCTCTTTAAAAGTTCTATACGTTTTACTCTATTGCATATGCTCATTTACTTGTCCTAAACAGAATTAAATTATTTTCACTGAAGTAATTAAAATTATCATCTACTTTCACTTTAAGGCCACTGAAGACACTTACTGGAGAAAGCCAAACCACAGAAGAAACTCTCTGAAGAAAGCTTTTACTTACTCTGTTGACGACTCCAGCTCAGAGAGCGTTAGCCGTAAGTGAGTAATTGTCTTTTCCTATGAAAATAAAAGCAAAAATTGTCCTAGGTATTACTGCAACATTCTAGGATAGCTCAAGTTAAAAATCTTTATATTTAAACCTTTATTTTAACACTCATCAATAAGTAATTGCATCTTTGCACATTCAGATTTTCAGGTTTTTTTTCTGTATTGAGAAAGGCTTGTCATGTCACCAAAAACAGATGGGATCTCAATATATACCTCAAACTACAAAGAGGGAAAAATATTTTTACTTTCTTGAAGTGTTCAGGGAACATGTTAACAGTAATAATTAAAACTTTATTAAGTTGGCAAATGACTTCATATTGCCTAGGTCTAAACAAGGAGCTCATGTGGTGCCTACAGATCTACACAGGCTTTGTTTTCAAAGCAAAATGCCTCCCTGAAATTTAACAGCTTTGAAAATCCCAAGATAAGAGCATAGAGTAGTACTTTCACTGCACATACCTTATTAGCTAAGTTGTCGTCTAAGCACGCAATTCTTTCTGTTTTTTCATCTACAGTTTCTTGAAGATTATCCTTTTCTTTGTCCAAAACAGTAATAGTACTTCTAAGCACATTGACTGCCTCATCCTGTGAAGTGCTCTTCTGGTTTAACCTATCTATAAATGTCACAGTAAGTATTCTTGTCTTTAGAATAGGAAACAAAGGTGAAAATAACTAGTGATCACCTATTTTCTCCTCTAGCTTTACAATTTCTTCTTGAGCTGACTGAAGTTCATCCTTTTTGAGAGACAACCGGTGCTGTAAGTCTTCCACAGTTCTCTGGAGTTGTTCATTTAAGAGGCTGGAAAATCAGTACACCATTGAAAGACATTTGGGAACTCTTAGTTTGGGTTCTTCAACTTGCGTCTCCTGAACTGCTTGAAATTCTGTAACAGTTCCAGCTTAACCTCATGATGGGACTGTATGACACCTAAGATTGCTGAGACCAATACCATCTCCTTGCTTTGGACCCCTGCAGCAAATCCACCTTAACACCATTCCAAAATGGAGCCATGGAACCCCTGTGAAACTACCACAGTAAACTGAAACATTCACATCCTCTGACTTTTCTTACTAGAAAAGCTTTTCATTTTTCCAGAATACAATGTAGCTGCAGGTAAAAGTTACTTTTACTCTATTTTGGATTAAACTTCAGAGGACAAAAAGAAGCTCTACACAGGGCAATAACAAAGTGGATCCAAGCACTAAAATGACTACAGCCCTTTTCCTTATCTCCTGCTTTTTAAAGGTAATGATGCTTTCTGCTAAAATTGTAAGGAGTCTCACAAGATAGTCCAGCTCTACGAATTATGTCACAATTTTACAAACAAATACACTAATGGTTTTACCTACAAATAGCTTTTGAGTAATTTGTAGTATTATATAAACTCTGAGGATTGCTTCTGAACTTCAGCTCTTTACAGTTGTAAGTACAGAATAGTACTGCTTTGCCTTATATAAGTTTTTGGGGTTTTTTTTCCAAGGGGGTTGGGAGGGTATGTTGTAGTGTGGAAACAGACACTGGTTTCACTTGTAAAACATCCAAAACATCTAATCTAACAGCATAACCTTACATCCAAGGCTCTCATTTTTACCTAAGTTAAATGCAAGATTTTCAAATGTCTGCCCAGATTTATTCCAATTTCTGTTTCCACATTTTGTAAGGCCTTTTCTTGTCTCTGAATGAAATATACCTGATGGAAGCTATGAAACAATTTGAAAGACCAGCAGTGATCCTTCAAGTTTAAGCAGGCCTCCACAAAACATATACGTATACTTAATCCTGCAATTTTGAGCAAATAAAATCCCTTCTGACTGGACTTAAGGGTCATAAGATGCCAACATGCAAAAATGAAGTATGCTTTGGATAGTACTAGCATATAAAAGAGAGACAAGAAAAACAGCTCAAACAAAATGCCATTACAGAAAGGCTCTCCATGAGCTACTCAACTGTCAAGTATCAGTGATGCTTAACATAAAATCGTCAGTATTATTTACACCTGTGTAAAAACAGCACAATTTGGTCCTACTCCTACAGTTTGTAAACACACCTGTCTTCATTTCAGTAAACTGCGTTCCTAAGTCCTTTGAGAACTTTCTGTTCTGCTACATTCATAAACAGAAAACACGGTTGTTGGAGGAAACTGTTCTAAAAGGAGAATTTTTTCATTCATAGTTTGCGATAAAAAGCATCAATATTTCTGGTCATTAAATACATCCAGAAGTTTGGTATAAAAAGCTATACCAATATTTTTTCCTTATTCATATTTACATTTCCTTAAGATAAATAATGTATAGTGGGTTTTTTTCAGCTATCTCAAGGTCCTTCCTAAGATCTTATCTCCGCTATGTTTGTAGAGTAAAATCATGTTACTGTCATGGAAAGATGATAAGTTTTTTGTATTAGACTTACTGAAGTGAGCAAAGTTCAGCCTTAAATTGAGAAGAATCATCAGATGTCTGCATAAGTTTATTGGACTTCAATTTTAATTCATTTTCCAAAGACTTTATTCTTTCTTTCAGGATAGAGATCGTACTCTTTAGTTCGCACCTTTCCAACTCAAACTGCAATTAAAAAAATAAAAAGACATCGTTGAAGAAAGCTACCACTACTTGGCTCTTAAGTAAATCAAAGTTGAAAGGAGATGAAAAAAACCAAATTGCTAGGAAAAAAAAAAAGCTATCCTATTGTAGAATAAAAACATGTTTGTTAAAAATGGACTTACTTGTTGAATATTATTTTCCAGTTCTGAAATATCATGCTGCATCTTTGATTTTTCAAGGTTAGCCGCTTCTTGCTGAATCTAAGGTAAAAGCATTGGTTTACATGTAATAAATAAGATACAGATTTTCACTATGCATAATTTAATAGCTGAAAATACACCACTGCAGTTATATATACACACAAAAGATTTTTACAATAATAAATTTAAAGTTTGGTTAATTACAATGCAAATTCACATTTGGCTCTAATTTAATTAATATTTGTGAGCTGTTGCAGAAACATAGAGATACAGGGCAATAGAAAGGTCACAAGAATGTAGCACGTAGAGTTTTGAAGATGGTTTTTCTATCACAAAGAAGCGCATACAGAAATACTCTGTGATATCTGCACTCTACACACAAAGTGTGTACTTGCCTTCTGACACTTCAAGCCCAGTCCTCTACTGCCACCCTACCTAGGAACTGAGATTACCAGGATAACTCAGACAATTCATCCAGTTCTGCTAAGTGAATTTGAAATCAGATAGGAATAGAAGTTATTCAAAAGTGGAACTGACTGACAGTCATACACAAATACGGTAGCATTTAAAAACCTTTTCTCACTGTAAAGCAATGCAGCTAAAAAAGTCTCACCTTTAACTTTTCTCTTAGACTTTCCTTTTCTGTCATCAGTCTTCTAAAGTCTGCCAGTGCAACATCTCCATCTTCTCCCACGTGACTTTGAGAAACTAAATGATGCTTTGCTTCTCTTCTCAGCCTGTTTAATTCACTCTGAGACTTTAAAAAGTTTTTACTTGTAAGCATTTGTGGACTGCAATTAATACAATGTATACACTGACAAACAGAAAGTTCCAGTGCCGTTACCACAATAGAAGTGCTATTATAGTCTATTTCCCTACATAACTAAAACATTTAAAATCACACAGGAGCACAACAATTTATAATGCCAACATACTTGGAATCCTTCTGCTGTTCCAAACATAGATTAACTTCACTTCATTTTCTCATAATTTAGTTACAACTTCTACCTAGCCTGTATCTCTACCCAACTTTCTTATGCTTTCTTTTTATTTTCTCCTGATCATTCTCATTTCCAAATGCCAGTAGAATGTAAAATGACTCTGAAGTTAATACACAAATGTCAGAACACGCAATTTTTTTAGCGAATAAAAAAAAAAAGTATATGTAAGTAAATATTTTATTGTTCTTCATATTTTCTAGTAGGTCTATACTCAATTTCTATTATAATGTGAAGCTCCTTCTTTTTGAACAAGCAATAGTAAAGAAAGTTTGAGTTGGATATTTCAATGCCAATTATAAAGATCTTCTTACCTGCTCATAAAGAATATTCAATCTGTCTCTTTCTGCAGTCAGTAGCTTGACGCTGGATTGAATTTCTATCATATGCTTTTCAAATCTGTCTAACATTGACTGTAGCTCATCTCTTTCTCTGGTGATCAATCTCAGATCTTCACTCTGCAAAGTGATTAATAAAATTGAGGTTAAAATATACTAATTAGATAATTACTCACGGACACGTGAGTGTTACAAGAACGAACGAACTCACATGATTAGGAATATATGAAAAACACACATAATACATTTTAATTCCAAGAAACGTGGCATTCCTAGTATAATTTAACCACGAGAACAAACTGTTAACCAGAAAAAGTAAACCAGCTAACAATAATATTTCAAACATTGTTTCTTTAACATCTAGTTCTATTTATTTTACACAAATTGATCAATATATAAATCAATACTACTGTAAAATGTGAATAAGAAACAAAAAGCAAGCTCACTGAACTTATTCTCAGTTAATTTTTATGCTAAGAATACAATGTAAAAAAGTAAAAAACATTTATTGCTATTGAAAGTATATTTGATTGCTCATTAAATCATCTACAGTAACTCCATAATTTCTCCAGCCTGTATTGACAATAAGAACATTACCTTCTCTGGAGTTCTACGACTTGGGCTAGGTCTTCGTTTTATCATTTTTTGAAGATACTCTAATTCTCTTTTATAATAATCTCTGTCATCTTCTAAAGTTTTGACAAATGCATCTAGACGAGATGGAGATTTGTCTCCTAGAGCTATACCGTATTCTAATCTCATTCTTTCTATTTCTAGGACAAGCTCCCGTTCTGCAGAAAGAGAAATAAAAAAGAACTGCAAAGAAAGCTTAATTTCATCAGAGACATTTGCATTAGGAATGGACTAACATCCAGCAACTGCCTGGGCACAGGATCTGCTGAAAACAATGCAGGGATCCGGGTTCACCCATTGCCTACACATGAATCAGCAGCGTGCTTTGGATCCAGTTGAGGCCTAGCAGTAGTGTGGGCTGCATCAGTGGAGATGGAGACCGAGGGATGTGATTATTTCCTTTTACTTAGGGCTCACTAGGTCACATTTACAATATTGTACCCAGTTTTGTTTCTTGTGGTACAGAAAGGATCTTTATAAACTTGGGTGAGTGCAGGAAGGGCCTCCAAACTAGTCTTGTAGCAAAACACTTGCCCTGTGAGGAATAGCTGAGGGAACAGGGTTTGTTCAGCCTATAAAACAGCTCAAGAGGGCCTTAAGAGCTGCAGACAATACCAAGAGGAAGAGTTTACAGACAAGATGGAACCAGTTTCTTCACAGATGTGGGTAAACAAGGGAAAGCATCAAGCTGTTTTTACAAGCAATAGAAAGAAAACATTTCTACACTGAGCATAAATAAATTTTGGAAGTAGTTGCCTAACAAGACTGAGGAATCTCTGCCCTTGGAGGTTTTTAAGGTCTGGACAAAGGTCTTAAGAAACAGTCTGAAGTCACTTGCTCAGAAAGACTGAATAAAAACAGTATGGGATAAAAGAAATTACTTTGTAAGAAACTGCCTTATCACTATTAGGATGTCCCATGGGACTACACTTCAACTGTAAAAGCTGAATTTTCAAACATGCTTTTGAGATTAAATATTTCACTTAATGATAGAAGATAAACAGACTACTTTTTTCATTTATCTATTAGTGCTTTTAGTCCCGCAGTATTATTAATTATGTCTTAAATATATAAAACATTCTACTTCAAAAATTAAAGGAATCTACATTTTATCATTTACCTTTTATTTCAAAGTTCTCTGTTTTTTCTGTCAGCCTCTGTTTCTCTTGTTCAAGCTGGTTTAGCAGTAGCTCGAGATTCGCTTTATCATCTGCTTTTCCAAAGAGTTCTTCACTCAATCTCTCATTCTGACGACGACATGAGCACAGCTCCTGAAGTAACAAATATTACAAAAATTTAGAAGTGCCAATGGACACATGGAAAGAAAAGTAATCCTGATGTTTTATGTAACATTTGTTTTAACTGAATATTGTTCCCTTTAGGCAACAATTCTTACTGATTTGATTTAAGCATTGCTCCTGACACAGTTTGCAATCAGCAGTGAAAAAAGCAAGACTCGTGCTTGCTTAATTCAGCTGCTACTCCAAGAAACCAAACCAGAAGTACAGTGAGATGTAAAAATAAGAAAAAGTAGTAACTAAATCAATAAATATTTTTAAATGGAACTCAGTAATATTATTGGTGTTAAAACTGGATCACAATGCTGTATCTCAATCAACTTAATCCTGCAGCTATTTAATGCAGCTGGCATTTATAATTTGGTGCTCTGAAAATATTTTCATGTTTTCAAGTTCACTAGAAACACTAAAAACAAGACACTGCATGCAACCAGTACACAATTTATTACACACTGAAAATAGATGTTTCAGGAATAGGTCATACTGACATCTTTCACCTGCGCAGTTAAGCTTTGTTTCTGATTAGTAATGTGTAATTATTCATATATTAAGAGACAAGGCAGATCCTATATTAAAACCTCCTTGGATATCATTATTAAATTTTAGTAAAAACGGTCATGTCGTGGCAATTAAATTTCCAATAGCAAGAATAACAACAAAATTTATAGTAAGGATAGTAAAGCATGCTGCCTACAGAAATTTCTCTCCACTTATTTCCACATGATGTAGCGTCCTCAGCTCTTACATGTATTACGCTAGATTGATAGAATTTTGAGACACTGCAGAAGTTTCATTTAAAAAAAAAATGAAGCAATGCTGATTTTTATGAAAGAAATGTGAACGACAGTATGATAAAAGTATTACAAAAGAAGACTTAAACTGGAAGAATTTTTACTTACTGATTTAAGCCTCGTTATTGTGTCTTCAAGATCCTGTATTTCACTGTCCTTTCTTTCAATTTCCTTCTGTCAACCAAAACAAACTTTATTTTTAAAGTTACGTATTCAAAACACCAATTCCTTTGTTATAAAAATTAAGGAGATTGGATTTTTTTAAGAAACAAAGTATAATCAGCTCCTTGTAAAGGCAAAATTTTAGATTCACACATTCATTAAAGCTCCTATTAATTGAATGTGCATAACACTTGAACCATAAACACTCATTTTGAACAGAACAACTAAATGAATCACTCCATGACTCCTCATAAAAAAAGCAATCCATACACTCCTCACTGTTGCAAACATCTATTACGTATCAACAGTATAAATAGCTCTGAATTTTGTTTTATACTGAGCTAACAGAAGAAGGAAGACAGACTGCTTCTTAACTGAATTCATCTCACCTAACACAGCAGTAAGACATAACTGCTGTAATTAATCTTTTAGTGAGAAATTCCGTATATGACTAAGTAAATCAGAAAAAATATTTTCAATGTTCCTTTAGGTATCCTGTTGCAGCTAAAAAAGCCAAAATTGAGGCAAATTAGAGAAATTTCATCTAAGAGCTTAGAAGATCCTACCCATAAAACACAAGTGATTACCTTTGCTTCTCCAATTTCTTTATCTGCAGTTTCAAGCACAATTTCCTTATGTCTCTCCAACTGCTGTGCCAAATGGTCTATTTCATTCAGTTCTTGACAGAGTTCTTCATTTTTATTGCTTAAGTGCACTACCTCACTAGTCACATTTTTTTTTGTGTCCAAGAGGTCTTGAATACGATTTTCAAGTTCTTTGTTTGATTGCTGAAGATATTCAACCTAAAAGATATTTTCCATTACAACTTTAATATATATTATTTAATTAGGTAGTATATTTTAGAAGACAAGGAGCAGTGTCTGCTATCTCTATATCTCTATATTAAAAGTTATATCCTGTTAATAACGTCTAGACTTCCTGTTCTTAGAAAACAGTATCAACGTGCAAAAATATTATTTTTAGAAATGTACATGGTGAAAGAATTCATTACTACACTGATCTTTACATAGGCTCAAAAATCCAAGGTTTATCCTGAAAACAAAGTACTGAAAAGCAGATATCTGTACAGAAACCTGCCTTGGGCACCAGTCCAGTAAACTCAGTGCATTCTGTGTTTCCCCAGATTTCACAAGGTTTGAAGACAGTTCCTTCCATCTATCTATGCAGTGTATTTGCTAGGCTTGGATTCATTGTTAACTCATTCACAGAAAAGGAAGCTTTACAAGTCACATTCCCAAGACCTACCTTGCTTTCAACACATCAGCATCTCAAACAAAACATTCCAGAAATCCTGTTCTAGACACACTGTTTTTACCATTATGCTATTCTATGCAAGTGTAGTTAAAAGAGGAAGAGTAGGAAGGAAAAAAAACATCTCAACCGATCAGAGGTGCTGCACTTCCATCTCCACATAACTTTCCTCAGTACTCCAGAAAGTTCAGTTCTAGGCACAGAACACAGTCTGGGTCTTTTCATGGTTGTATATGCTACTATATAGAATCGATCCATTTAAAGTCAGAGATTAAAAGTGGTAGATTGGCACTAAGCCTGAATAAATAGCCTTGATCTGCCTTATGCCCCAAATCTGCCTTATGCAGCTCTGAAAATATAGTATAGAAGCCTGGGCTCACTTTGTATAATCAATTTATCTTCAGCACAACTTACTAATTCCAGATCACTGAAAACAGCAGTACTGCTTCCAAGTCATAGCTCATACCATATTTTTGCATCACTGAACCTAAGCTAATGAGCTCTGCAGCCTGGCTCTCTGTGACCCTGTATACGACACACCATCAGTAGCCAAATGGTAAATAGGTAGTATAAATTCAGAGACAGACTATACTTCATCTATACTCCAGTCTGCCTTATATTAGATTCAGAAATCTGAGACCAATAATGCATGCATGCAAACATGCACAATAAACTCAGCATCCTTATTCCTAAGCTTATTCTTTTCTTGCAAGTCTGTGTTGCAAAAAAGGTGAGGACCATTGGAATTAAGAGAATTTCCTACTATCTGATGCGATTACCTGCAGACCTCTTGGTAAGTATATATACCAGAGTTCATTCCAAAGACATAAATAGTATGTACGCATATACATTTTTTAAATAAAATTAATTTCAAACTCAGTCAAAACACTGTATGCAGAAATTTCCTGAATAGTATACACAGATGTGCATACATTACATTCTTCACAAAAAACAGGCTGTTAAAAAATTTATTTAGACAAGAAACTCTACCACCTAAAAAGCCAAGTTAAATTCGTTGATTTTTATCTAATACTGAAATTTCTTTTTGAAAGAACATCTAAAAGTTGTTTGTGGATTGTTTTTTTTAATTGCTAGTATTTCTCATTTTGACTAATCAACAGCAATTCATTCATTACCTGCAAATTTAATTGGGCAATAAGTTTCTCATTACTTTTACTTCTTGATTCCAGAGATACAACTTCATGAGAACGACCACCATCCAATGCTAGCATTAGGCGTTCTATTTCTTTGTCTCTAAGCTCAACCTTTGAAGAAAAAAAACCTTCATCATCTTCTACAGCATTTAACAGTACCTTTGTTCTGATATGCCCCTATGCAACGCTCAGTAAGAAGAGATGTCTCTAACAATTAAATTTTTAAATTTAGTATTCAATTTTCTTGAATTCCGCATTTTTCAGAACAAAGCGATTTCTCTGAAATGAAACTAAACAAATAAAATTTATGGGAGAGAAAAGAACCACCACCAACAAAATGAACAAGTCCTAGCAGATTATTTTCTTGGAGAGCAACCAAAGAATTTAATTCACCAAGATGTGACTGAAAAAATGATGTTGGGGTTGGGTCCACTACTCCTCAGATACTGAAAGATCCATCAAGATACAAACACCTGATGCAATTCCCTCATTTATACAGATTGTATTGCCTTTTTGATCCAACCTAATTAAAGAGCTGTAAGATCTGCTGTCCATGAATTAACCTCTGTAAAATAAAATGAAATATAACCAGTCCAAACAATAAAAAAATTATCCTAATGTAGCCGTAGATCAAATTAATTTTAACCGGTGGATATTTCTACACTAAAAACCCCTAAATGTACAAAAAATTGAGCTTACAATCATCGACTACAGTTTATTTAGTGTAACTTTTATGTAGACAAATCTATAAGCAAGGGAGGTGGGGTAGCATTTTAATATTGCTGCTGTCTTCAAAGCTACAAATTCAAAACAGCATAGAGGAAAGAAAGAATTAGAATAATTATATTTTATAACACCTACAATGGTTAAAATAAAAATAAAATAATAGTATTTTATAACACCTACAAAGTTAAAGTAAAAATAAAATTATAATCAAAGCTATTACAAATAATTAAAACAAAAAAAGAAAATAAAATAGTGAAACAAATGTAAACATACCTGCTTGCTGTAATTCTTCTTTCCGTTTTCTGATATCTCTAGTTTTTCCTGTAACTGTGTCACTTCTGACTGAAGTTCTTGTATTCTGAAACATAGCAATATCCTGTTTATCTAGATTCATGAATGAGCCCTCCATGCACAATAATTCAATACTGTTATTTTCTCCTTGCTCTCGAACAGAAATATTTGACCAAAAAGAAAACTGTTTTGCTGATACAAAATATTAATATAGAAGCTATTGTTTGAGATACTGTGGCAGGCCAATCTTGCCTGGCTGTCAGACCCTCACTTATCCTCTCACTCCATCTCCTGAAAAAGGCAGTGGGATAAAGACTAGAGGAAGATTAATTTGTTAACAATTGAGTAGGATGATAAGAAACACAGATAAAAAACAAAGACAACTCAAGACCATCTTCCACTCATCTCCATTTCCTAGGCTCAACCTCACCCCTTCATTCCCCACTATTCTACCTCCTGTCCTCAAGAAGTTGCCCCCCACAGCCAACTCCTCTAGCTTTATTGTTCAGCATGTCACCAAAAGGTATGGGATATCCCTTTGGCCAGTCTGGATCAGCTGTCTTAGTGCTATCCCCTCCCAGCTCCTCACTGGCAGGGCAGCACAGGAAGCTGATACGTCCTTGGCTCTGTGTAAGCACTGCTTAATAACAACTAAAACAATGGTGTTACCAACACTGTTCTCATCCTAAATCCAGAAGACAGCACCATACTAGTGACTAGGATGAAAATTCATTCCATCCCAGCAAAAAACAGGACATTGTTCTTTAAAAACTATTTCACCATGAATCCTTTCCAAGGGCTACAGTCCATCTATAACAGACAGCTGCAGCATGAGTGCCCCACTTCTCACCCACTTCTCATAAAATCCACCCTAGCATGGGCTCTTCTCCATGGGCCACAGGTCCTGCCAGGAGCCTGTTCCAGTGTGGCTTTTCTTTCCACAGACTGCAGCCTCCTTCAGAGCACATCCACTTGTTCAGGTGTTTTCTCATTCCTCCCTCTAATAGCTGCTTTTTTTTTTTTTTTTTTTAACTTGTTCTCAAGTATGCTTTCGCTGAAGGACCATTAGTTTGGCTGATGGGCTCAGCTCTGGCTATTGGTGGGCTCATTTTGGAACCAGTTGAGGGCAGCTGTGTCTGGCACAGGACAGCCCTTGATCTCCTCTCACAAAGGCCACCCCTGCAGCTTCCTCACTAACAAAACCTTAACAAGTAAATCCACTTGCAGGCATACTCAGAACAAGAAAAATTTTATTGAACCTTTTGTAATGTAGGTTTCCAAGCCAAAAATAGTATTACATAAGTGAGAATATGCCAGCCTTCCACTATAAACACAAAAGATCAGTTTCGCCCTGCACAAAATTATGTCTGTTTTTTTTTCAGAATCCCTTACTTAACATTCAGCGCAAGAATAAATCCTGTATAGAAATCATAACATAAATCCTTTAAGGATATAAGTAGCATATTAAGTATCATTGCAATTTCAACAGAAGCAGCAAGGTCAATCACCAAGTAAAATCCTATTTAAGAACTATAAAGTTCTCAAAACATCATGAAACCTTTTTCCTCGGGCAAATTTGAAAGGCAGAAGGAGGTGCTGAAGTCACAGCAGCAGATATTTAATGCCTAACATTGAAAATTCTTCAGATTACCGATTATCAGCCACCTGAAGAAGGTCTGCAATGTACGGGTCCTCTGGCTGAGGCACTGGGTAGGCACTAACAGCTGATGGTGGGACAGGCTGGTCTATCTGCATGCGTTGACGCCTGAATGGGATGTTTCTTTTTCTGCCACCTGAAAAAGCCCCAAGTCAAACAGCTATTTATGTGATGTTAAAGCAAGAGGGTCTTCACCTTTTATACAAAGTGCGATTCTATATTTATCCCACTGCTTCTGAACTGACACAAAGCATCATTTTAATCTGAGTGAAGTTAGTAATCTGTACAACCCAGACATCATTCCTGCAGATAGCATTGGTTTTGCTGAAGTTCAGTTTTAAAATAAGGAAATACGCAAAATCTAGTACAAGTCATTTGCTCCAGTGCTTAAGTCTCAAAACAGTCTAGAGGTTGAACCTGCTGAAGCTGTAACTGATTTACCTTCCTTCCAGCTTAAACACTATCTAAATGCATTAAGAGTCCTTAATAATAATAGCACAAATAAAGCCTTTGCCTCTTTGAAAAAAACAAATGTGCATTCAGCAACAGAGAGAGAAAACAATACAGAAGACAGGAGAATTAAGGAGCAAAGGACAGGAGCAGATTTACTAGCAAAAGAAAGGACACAGAAGCAGCGGTTATTTGGTCCTGTTCCCCTAGTAGTTAATGAAAACAACTAACAAAGCTAAGGTAAAAGATCACAAAAAACATTTTGCTTTCAAATTTAAGAGCCATTTCATGACTAGCTTAAACTTCTGTGACGTTTACAAGTAATCCTTTTCCTTCTATCCTACTATCATTTGTATCATAAACACACAGAGCAAAGTAGGTTATTTGGTTGCATAGTAGCATTATATTTAAAGAAAGCAAAACATTTTACAGAGGGAAAAATTACTCTCCATCAAATAAGTATGTGAAGTTTTTGATGCTATAGTATGGAAAAATCTTGTAAGAGTGGTGGACAAGTAGTTAAGTACGAGGGAAGAGAGACAAAAGTGTAACAGCATCTTTGAAGTAAAGAACATAGAATATAGAAAGGTATGAAAAAGTATGATTTTTATTTTCACCCCACTACATTATTTCCCTCAGGTGCCAAAAAGATGGGTAAGATCAAATGACTTTGAAGGAAAGAATTAATTTTACAGTACACTTCCAGTTATCGCCCTTAATTTGAAGCAAAATGAAGAAAAATTGAAAAAATGGGAGAAGTAATTAACCCAACAGTAATATCCTCAGCATCTTAAGTTAGTAAGAAAAAAAATACCTTTTAAAGGTGTAAGCTTTCAGAGGGTTGGACTATTTGTCTGCAGACATATTTTGCACCTTGCTACTTTTTGATCTTGGTTAATAAAAATCTGAATTACTCACTTACATAGCATCAGTTAGCTATCAAAACACTCAAGTATATATTAGAAAAAATGGAGTAGGTTAGGAGTAGCATTAAAAAATGGAAATAAAAACCATTGAGCAACAGCGCCTTTCAGCCATGATTTAACTTAATAAAGCCTTTAACTCTAATGAATTCAAGTTTGTATACAAATTGGTCCACAGCACAACTGATGAAATTTCTTGCACACAGAGAGGAAGACCGAATTCAGAATCCAAAGTTTCAAAAGTTAATGTCATTCCATTAGACAGTGTTATTTTACTTCAGTAATTTCTCTTCCTATATGGAAAAAATATATGTATATTCTGAAGAGCCAAAAAAAGAAAGAAAAAAAAAAAGCCAAGAGAAATATCACCTGGGATTATTTTCACTCACCAGGAGTTTGCACAACTGCTTGCAGATTCTTCTCTTGAAGCTGCTGAATTTTTTCAGTCTTGGCTTTGCTCTCTTTTTCCAGCAGTTTAATTTTATGCACATACTGGTTATTTAGGAATTTCAAGTCAACTGCTTCATTTTCAACACTCCTTAAGCTGGCTTTCAAGTCTTCAAGGGAGAGAAAGAGCAGTTTTATTTTTTTTATTCACTAAAGTAGGTATGCAAGTGATGCTTATATTCTTTTTCCACAACGTAAAGTTTCCGAATACCCACTGGTAAGTTTACATATGTACACATAAGCACTAATACATTTCTTTTAATTACAAAAGGAATATCCTCGCATGAGCTTTAATTAAAGGCACCAAAATTAACGACCACTTACAAGTAGAACTACAGATAAATGATTCTGCAGGTTTGTCCACACTTTTGACTCAAAAGAATTTTGAAGAAGTCTCACAACTTTTATATTACCTTTAATATGACGATCAGATTGCTCTTTCAGTTTTAATATTTCCAAATGCAGCTCATTATTTTCCCTGGTAAGTTTTGCATTCTCAGTTTTATACGGTTCTATAATAGCATCATAATTGCTGCATTCTTTTTCAATTTTTCCAGCAGATAACTTTGCACTGCGCAGGCTCTCTGTTGTATGAACAAGGTCACTGGAATCAAGGGCCAACAGACAAGATCACAACGTTATCAGCCTTTAAACCGTTGCTTCAAATATTTATTAAAACCTTAGAAACAAAACCAGACCATGTTAAATGTAGAATACATAAGTTGCAAGAAAAACAAAGAGAACATTAATGTAAGAAAAATGCAAAGACAAAAATCATTTGCTTAAAAAAAGTATATAGGAAAAGATGGGACAAATATACAAAATAAAGATATGGAGAAATTCACAACTGATAATTCAATAAACTCGCTTCTATCTGCATTAGACGTTAGCTATTACTAGAACCAATTTTTTTTTTGCATGTTTAGTCAGATATAACTAGATGAATATGGAAATTATTATGTTCCTATTGCACCAAAGCCATGAAACATCAGAAACGTTAAGAAGGTGATAAAAAAGTTTGTTCTTCTATTATTATCCTGTGCAACAGCAAAGACAGCAAACTTGAACTTCTCCAAATGGAATAACAAACAAGGGAGTTGTGAATGTTTTATGCTCAGGTATAGTAGAGAGAATGGGGATTATTATACAACCAGCTATAAGTGCGTCTTCTAATTATCAGCAGCAACTGCTTTGGCTAATTGGTAAGGTTAGAAAACTGAATTTTCCCTTGATTGCTGATCCTTAGAGACTATCTTAACAATATAACCAATTTAAAATAAATCTTAAGATGTTCTTACAGCTTAAGCAAAACCACTTCATCATATGCTGAAACCAAATGTTAGCCTTGAAATAAGATTGTTTGAAAATAATCTTTAGGCTAACTCTTTTCTCTCACATTAAAAAAAAATAAAATAAAAATCAAACAATACCTACTACACGAATACAACGTTGTTTTATTTTGTTGTTGTTGTTGTTTTTTTAAATCAATAAAGAATCTCTTTTGGAATACCTAAAAAGCTTTTCCACCAAAGGTAAACTCTCCACTCCCAAGGGCTGCCGGTAGCCCAGCTGATCCAGACGTTTCCTGAGGTTAACAAACTTCCGCTCTGCTGCTGTCGTCATTGTAAGTGCAGCCTTTGTAAAACTGAGGGAAGAAAGGACACCTGCAAAATATCGTCTGTTACGGCACTCCTCCCTTACAGAACAATAGACACAGAACCTAGTAATGGAAAAGCAACTTACTGTATAATACATAAGCATATTCTGAAAATTTAGGTAAACTAAAACAGAATCATAAGGCAACCAAAAAGTTTTCAGCATATTTGCATGTATTTTTTTAAATATTTGCCTTGCCAATTAATTGTTTATCACTGAGCATTTCCTAACATCAGAATGCATTCAATGCCAGGTTGGATGGGGAGTGTGATCTAGTGGGTGGCAACCCTGCATGTAAGGGGGTTGAACTGTGTGAACCTTCAGGTCCCTTCCAACATAAGTCATTCCATGAGTTTTCAGAGTATAAACACATGAGTTTTCTTTCTAGACCTGCATTGTGAAAAGATCTCTCCATAAAGATGACAAAGAAGTAGATTCTGATTTCTTGAATCAGCCATCAGGATAGCGCCCTTCATAATCCAGACTGTTCCAAAAAAGAAAAAAAAAAAACCTGTATACTTTTTATCTTTCATATCTAAATCTTGTTTTTAGAATTTACAAGGCAGTACTTATATTTCTACAGTAATGTTAAGCATTCTTGAATTAGGAACAGCAGTGATTGTGTTACTGTACCAAGATCTTGTCTCACAGATCCATCTTACTAAAGAAGTAAGGTGATAACTCTTAATCCCATCTTCTCCTTAAGAACTAGATGAGTTAAAAAAATTAATTGGATTTGTTCATCAGGCTTGATTTAAGAGCATACGTTTTGGAAAGAAAAAGGATTTTTCTACTAGTTCCTTGAGAGAGTTTCACAGTAATGGCAAGAACAAAACTGCTTTACAACAAGTAAGGGAGTAAAGCTTTTCTACAGCAACCATGCTTGTTTGTGCTCCATTATAACCAAGAAATGGATACAAGATCTTGCTAAATCATTGAAACCAACATTTAGTGGTCTAGGATTAAGAGATGACATGAACTTTAAGGATGAATCACTGTCACACCTTTCTCCTTCCTCAAGATTGAGAAATTCCTATCAATTCATTATTACCACCTTAATTAAACTGGAGAAAATATTATCTGACATTGCCTAGAGCCACATCTGATAACAAAATTAGTCCAAGAAATGAGTTATGTAATTTGTGCTGTAGGTCCAAAAGATGTAAAGGAGTTAAAACAACCAGAAGAGCTGTGGGTTGTTGCTTCAGAATGCTTACCAGACGCTGGATTCTTTAAGGACAATAATCTTTGTACAATCTTTCGCACAGGAGAATGGAATTGGAAAGACATTACAGTAGTCTGCAGTAGTTGCAGAGCCAGCCCTTACAGATAACCACAGCACAAACCTCACATCCTAAGCTCTAGCAACAGGCCTTGAGTTTATCACGTCACAAAGCCTTCAATAACCTCTCCATCAGGAAAACAGGGTTTTCTGGAGATACAAAACGCATGTAAGAACGGCAGTGCAGCTTCAGTACAGCCTGAGCTCAACCCAATCAGCATCCCGCGCCTCCGACAGCGACCACGTTTACAAATACAAAAAGCGCGAGCTGCAGGATCAGACCGCCGCGCGACGAGGCACCAGGCCGTGTAAGCGCACAGCGGCACACGAACAGCGCGCGGCCGCCGGCCCGCTCTGCGCCCACCTGCCCCGCCCTTACTCCTCGCTGGCCTCCCTCCGGCTCAGCCTTACCGACACGCTGCTGAAGGTAAATTCTTCCAGGGCAAACCACGGAGGAGACGCCGAGACGTGTCACCTAGGCATCGGCAGAGCCCAGAGGGAACGAGAGCCCAGCGGCAGCCGGGCTAATCCGCGCTCCCCGCGGTCAGAGCGCATCGGCAGCGGCCGGTTGTGCGGCAGGAGCCCCGGTCCGGCCCGGCCCCGCCGCCGGTTTGAAAATGGCGCGCGGCGAAGCAACCACTTCCGCCTCGTCACCACAGCAACGCGGCACGCGCCGCCGGCCCAGCCAACAGCTGCCCGCGCCTGCCGCCCCGCCCCGCCTCTTGTCGCACGACCGGCATCCCTCGCGCTTGGGAGCGGGGCGGGAGGTGGGAGCGGAGGCGGCTCCGCCTTGAGGGGCCTGGCTGCGCTTACAGGCTTCGTCATGCGCTGCCCGGGCTGGGCTGGGGGAACTTCTGCTGCGCATAACCCCGCCCTCCCTGCTGCTTAACAAGGCTTAGCGGGGCTTATAGTGATGCTACAGCACGCCTGCTAAAAGGAAGGAAGCACTTGAGAAATAGAGCGGCGCTCCGTCAGTACCCAGGGACATCACCCCAGGAGCAGCTCTGCATTGCCGTCTGCCTGAAATAACATGCCTCAGAGACATAAAGAATGCGATGAACAGATTTTAATCGAGAATGACGGCCACCCTCACATCACGTCTCAGAACATGAATTCATTATTCCCACTGCTTATGTTCCACACTTATACTTTCTGGAACAAGGATGGGAAGAGATGTGGCAGTCTTTAATGCTTGTGTAACCTCCAAGACGCAAAGTATTAGTAGAGATGGTAGTACCCTTTTGTGTACTACACACGTAGTGCTTGCTGCTTTTAGCAAAAGAGGGGTTATAAATAAAAGTATCTGAACATTAGGGGAGGGGAAAAATGTATACAAAGTGTTTCACGGAATTAATGCTTTCAAACACAATGCATAGAAGAGCAACAAATGACCAAAGGTTTCACTTTGCCCCGAAAAACATTTGAAGCGCATACATACTCAACAGTTAGCTATACACACATACTGAAATACACCTTTTAAAAACAAACAGCATCTATAGTGTTTGATTCCCTTATCATACAGGCACAGACTTTGCTAGCTTCTCTGTCCCTTTATAGAACCTTAATGAGATTGTGCAATACTGGAGCAGTAGTCTAAAATATCCTGTATAGTGAATTCCATAGTAATTCCCGATCCAGGATAGCAGCGAGCTATCAGCCCTTCAAAGTGCTTGTACTGTCGTATGAACTCATCTTGCATTGAATGCCACACAACCTGCCAACAAAAGCAAATTTTAGGAAATGACAACTGGTACAGCATACTAAATGTGAACTACAGGACACATTAGCTCATTAATTTATTCCCAGTTAAGGTGACATGAAAACTAAAGCTTGTCAAAAACAAAGTTCAGTAAAGTGAGCTACTGCATTAAAAATTCTCAAAGTTTCTTACCTATCAAGTTTCTTAAAGATCATTAATATTTACATCACTCCTACCAAGTGTATTACAAAGCAGAAAAAAAAAAAAAAAAAAAAAGTCAGTCTTGAAGAGGCTGCTTCAAAGAAAGCAACCCAAACCAGACCTGCATTCGTGTTCACACTCCTAAAAGCTGTTAAGGCACATTTAACTTGTCATTACAACAAGAAGAAAGTTTACATAATATTCTACTGCAGTGTACGAGCCAAATTTCATGCTAAGTTAATGGTTCATTTCAGTCTAGTTCCTTCTATTTCCATCTTATTTTGCAGAATAGAGATCACTCACTAATGGACAGATAAGGAATCATAAAGGGATTTTCTTTCAGAAATCTACCATACCTGAAACCAATCTGTTACGATAAATACAATCAAAAAAGGATTATTAAAAGGATTATTAAAGGATTATTAAGGATTATTATATAAGGATTATATATATATATATATTTATATATATATTATATAAGGATTATTATATAAGGATTATATATAAGGATAAAAAGGATTATTAAGGATTATTAAAAACAAACAAACCACCACAAAACAGTTCAAAATTCAGGGGTTTTCAGAATTTTGCTGAAGCTATCTCCCAGGATACACATACAAAAAAAAAAAAATAAAGACCTTTCTGCAAACATACAAGAGATTTTAAGCCATGAATTAGTTTACCTGAAGTAAGTTTTCTTCTTCACAGAGATGTTTATCTACCTTCTTGTAAAGATTATCCAGTCCTTTCTTGACTTCTTTGCCAGGATACTCCTTTATAACTTTACGAAGCTCTTGTTTATTAAAAGCCAGTTGATAGCTTACTTCTTCTTCTCGTATACCTTGGGCCACACGAGCTTCAACACCTTCAAAAAAATGCTAACAAACAATAATACTATTAATGTTTGTCATAAATACAAACTAATAAACTGCAAAAATTCTGGTCAAACTGCATCTTCAACAAAAATGTGGGGAGTGCACAACAGTTGTTCTTTTTAACATAAGTTGTGCTGATCCATATACATTAAGGAACGGCAAACCAATGCAGTACTAAGTAAGTAATAAGGTAAAACTGAAATTAATAATCTACAGAAGCAGTCAAGCTGTCATTTACCACCTCGTAACTAATACTGAACCAGCCTCAAACTCCTCAGTCTGTGAGACCACAGGTTAGGAAAGCATTGGATCTTTCAGATAAACTGACAAAGCATTTAAATTGGAAATTTTCTTCTTAAATCATAATTATACAAGAGCAGTATTGGTTCATTATTGCCCTCTTTTCTCAAGATTCCTCACCATGTTGATCAATGTAAAAAAAATGGAAAGAAATATGCTTATGAATGTGCATGTAGCACTGTAACATCATTTGAAGCATTGCACTGGCTCTGGACAGGATGGAATTAATTTTCTTCACAGCAGCCTTATGGTGCTGTGCTTTGGACTTGTGGCTAAAACAGCATCAATAACACTACAGCATTCTGCTATAGCATAAGAGTGCTTGCACTGCATTCACACTTTCCACACACATCCTGTCCTCCTCTTGCCTCCTCCACAGTAGACTGGCATTGGGCAAGAAGCTGGGAAGGGACACAGCCGGGGCAGCTGAGAAGCCGATCTATAAGTGTATTCTCTAGCATGTAACATAATGATCAGAAATAAAAAGTGCAGTAGAGGAAGTGGAGCAAATGCTTGTCCTCAAGGGTGGCTGTTGTTCAGAGTCAGGTCAACCTACAGAAAGTTAGAAGTGGTAATAAGCATCTTAATTTTCAAGAAAAGAATACATCTTACACTATTCTGACAATAAATGGCTGTAAGCTGTGAAAGCCTGGAGTCCTGCTTATTGAAAAAGCAATTGAAAAATGGAAAACAGAGCAGAACAAGATTAAGTTGAATGCATAGCTCAACTTAGGACATATGGAAATTTCCTAGAACTTTTCTTACAGTTATATGAATCAGAAAGGACAGTAATAGTCTCTTCAGTTGAGGTGGAGGAGATGATTCCAAAGCTCCCAACTGCTCTTCAAGGTAACAGCTGTGGATGAAAACTAGATTTTTCATGGCAAAGTACAGTGCTGACTACACAAGTAATTGTGTATTAAATAAACAGTTTTGAGGAAGGAAAAAAGTGAGGGGAAAAGTAGAGCACTTTAGGCAGCTATGCTTGAGTCTAAAATAGACAGGGATTATGATAGATGCAATGATAAATAGACTGGACATTGCAAACTAACCATATCAGAAAAAGTTATATACGTACTTTCAAATTGTGTAGGGTAGTATATAGCTAGACTGAAGTATACTTACATTTAATTTCTCAAGAGGCTGTCCAAGTGAGTAGACTACATAAGATTGAAGATGTTCAGTGTATTTCAGTTTGGCTTCTTTTTTCTCAGCTTCAAGACAAGAAATTTTCAACCGAGAAAGCGTTGCAAAAATATGATGGAAATTCTCCATCATTACCACATCCCTGGGTGTCTTCTGGCTTTCATTAGCTACTTTTTCAACTGAAAGATACGGGAATCAAAATATTTAGAACTCACAGAGGACAACCAAATTCAGAAAAACATAACTGATGAGCAGAGAAAAAAAATATATGGAATTCTATCACAGTGATAAAAACCACAGTGTGGTTTTGTTTTTTTACTTTTTGCAATTTTTAATTCTATGTGAAGTACTACATTTTTCTGACTTGTTTCAACATTACTTGTGAATTAACTACCATGCTGCATTAAACATAATGCTTGCATTAAATTTGCGTATCATTTTGATATTGTTTTATCTCCATTATTTATTTCTATCCCTTATACTCCCTCCATCATAAATACTTGTTGAAGTTCATGCTGTACTAGTGAAATTTTTTTTCTAAGTTCAACTGAAATTCTTTTAAATCTCTTAAATACACTTCCCTGCATTCTTCCTAGTAGTAATTCTATGTGTATGTTTTGTGTACGGTTTGACTATTAGTGTCCACCTAGTTTCATCACTTGAACAGTAAATTCTGAAGTACTGAATAGTTGGCTACAATCAATGTTTTTAAAATTCACTGTCCTACCAACTTCTACTATGAACTGTAGTCCATTATATTGTGCAATGACACATCTTCACAACCTCCTAATGCGTTCAGAACTCCTGTGCTAGTTTCCTCAAACAAGCTTTATTGCTAGAACTTTCCTCTTCCTTAGCTTCCCTCTGAAAAAAGAGGTCTCAGTGGTTGGAAAGCACTATAGGCAGAGTTGTCTCAAGGTATGTACACAAATCAGTGTGGAGGTGTCTCCCTGTTGTTTAAAAGGTAAGGACAATGTTTCTGGGGTTTAAATTTCTATTACTTCACCTTCAGCTGCCTTTTTTTTTTTTTTTGTTAATAACAAAATAAATGAATAAAAACAGGAGAAGAAAACTGTTCTGGTTTACCAGATCAGAGTTGGCAAAACAGGGAGGGATAAGAGAGACCTTCTACCGTGTCAGGCTAGGACACAAAGGACCTCAACTGCAATGAAATGGTCAAATTCCTAGCCAGAACACAAGGCTACATATGGACTGAACAGTACAACACCACACTCAGAAGCTGAACAGCATTAGATCCAAATGACAGGGATTCCACCCTATCTCATCTTCTCATTTAAGCTATGCTGATGAAGAAAAGCCAGAAAATCACTTCAGTCTGGGCCAGTAGTATTGCAGTTATTTCCCCTCTACTTCCCGAGTCCTGAACCACTTCCCCTGTCATAATCAAAAGTTACTTTACA